CGAGCCCGAGGACTCGCTCGAGGAAGAGGCAGCCCAAGCAGCTGAAGGTGTCGAGGAAGATAGTTCCAGCTCGGATCTTCCCGACACGCGGGCGCCTCCAGCCGCGGTCAGAGTGAAGGAGGACGAGGAGCCCGCTAGTGGGGCCCAGGCCGAGAGCACGGAGGAAGGAGTCCTCGTGCTCGGCCAGTCTGTGGTCACCAGCGCGAAGGAATACCTCGCGCGGTCCGAAGCTCTTCTTAGAGCGCAGAAGCTCCAGTCGAGAATACTGGAGGTTGCGGGAACTGCGATGGTGAAGCTGGAGAAGATCACCAAGCGGGAGGAGTCCCTCAAAACGCTGCGCCGAGAGGGAGAGAGTCGGGCGGCCGGGGAAGGCGCCGACGGGGAAGAGGTGTCTGACGATGGTCAGGACGCCCCCGGGGCTGCAGGGCCGAGCAGTGCCGCCAGGCCTTCGGGAGGCGGGACCGCCCAGTCCGCCTCAGCCTCAGAGGAGCCTCGCCCCAACGCTGACGGCCACTACGGATGTTCGGCTCCGGGATGCGGGCTAGCGTTTGAGTCGCTGGTGCAGTACCACTTGCATCAGGCGGCCTGCCATGGCGCCTCTCTTCCGCCCAACCTGGGGATCAGCCCCTCCGCACCTCTTGACCCTTTTCGTCAGGACTGGCGGGGACGGCTGTTCCGCCGAGGAAAGGACGGTGGGTATGGGGAGGTGCCCATGCTCCGAGTGATTAGGTACCACAAAGCCAACGGGTACGATCACTCGAGAGTCCCGCTCCTGAGGCGAGGGGACCGAATCCAGCTTGAGGATGGATCGCACCACATCTACGGTAGCCATCCGCCGGGGTGGCTTCGCGACGACCCCGAGCTGGACCCCCCTGGTGCTCCAGAGGGAAGCGATGGAGGGTCCACGCCCAAGAGCGAGCCCACGGAGGAGGCCGTGCCCGAGCCTCCGCGGAAGGCCGCTCCGCGCGGGCGGGCCCTCGAGCCGCCGAAGGGCGACGTCCAGCGACGCCTGGCCGAGCGTCGCTCCAAGCGAGATTACTCGCCGGACCTGGTGACGCCTCTCGACGATCTCCATGCCAAGGAGATCGACTCCTTCTTCGCGGGCGACCCAGCCGCGGATAGCCTTGACGTCATTTTGATGCGCGCCGAGGTTCGCACTGAGTCCACCTCAAGGTTGGCCGGGAGGAGGAAGAGCCCCTGGTCAAGGAGGAACAGGAGGAGGAGACGGAGGTCGTCAAGGACGAAGAGGTCTCGGTTGAGATGGAGGCTGCCACCGCGGATGAGGCGGACGAGGTCGCCCTCCCAGCCAACCGAGCCTACGTCGAAGGCCGCTTTTACCCCTACGGCAGCTGGCGGTGCTTCTTCTGCGAAGCCATTAACCCGGTGACCGAGGACCAGTGCCTCACCACGCACGCGGGCGGCCCGAATGCGGGCGCCCCGTGCGACGGCCGATGGATCAATGGGATCGACATCGGGTGGTGGGAGGTGGATCCCCAAACCGCGCCGGAGCAATGGCGGCGGAGGTTTTCTGCCGAAGAGCTTGAAGACCAACAAGCGCGGGCAGATGCCGCGAGGCTCCTCAGCGATGAGGAACTCGCTGAAGCCCTCCAGGCGGCCGAGGAGGCGCAGGCGGCCGAGCGCGCCAAGAAGCGGGAGCGGCGCCAGGCGGAGAAGGCGGAGCGCGATGATCACATCAGCGAAGCGCTCCGCATAGCAGGGTGGCAGTGCCCTAACTGCTATGAATGGAACCTTTCATTCAGGCAGTTGTGCTTTAGGTGCAGCACACCTCTCCGCTTGGCAGAGGTCGTGTCCCGCGGGATCCCGGATCCGCGGCGCGGCGAACAGAGGGACTCGGGCTCCGAGAGCAGCCAAGATGAGCTGGAGTACGAGATCCTTCTGGCCAATCGCGCGATGGATCAGGAAACGATCCAGCCTCTTCTTAGAAGCAAACACAAGAAGAGGGGCGGCAAGAGACGTCGCGAGGAGGCGACGCACGGCAAGGGCCGCGACCCGTGGGGTGCTTGGGCAGACGCCCGTGGCAAGGGCCAGGGCAAGCCGAAGGGCAGGGGCAAGTCCGATGCCAAGGGCAAGCCCAAGGGGAGGGGCAAGTACGCCTGGGGCGCTTTCGCCGCGGGCATTGTTGCCGCGCTCCAACCCCGCCCAAGCACCAGCTGGGTCCCAGCTTTCCCGTGCGGGTCGGCCCGGCCGCCGCCGAGTGTTCCGCTTCCGCCGCGGACCCCCTTTTTCCTAGGTCGCGGGCTCCTCAATCGGTTGATGCACGCCCTCAACGGGAACATCAACGGCTGGTGGGGCCTGGCGGCTGCAGCGTCGGCGCCGATTGCCTTGCAGTTGCACCGCGGGGCTGTGCATGTTGTCGAGGACTCTATGCACGCGGTTGCAACGATTTCGGCCGACGTGGTCGAGGAAATCGGTCACGGGGCGAGGCGGGCCGTGTGGGTCGCCGGAACAGCCATCACTCTCGTGGTAGTGATCTTGTGCGGTGCTGTTCTGTGGTACGTGAGTCGTGCCGTTGCCAATCGCATTGCGCATTTGCGACATGGCAACACCGCGGCCCCTGAGGCGCGGCTGTCTCAGCTCCTTGGCTCCGAGGCGACGTTTGAGGTCGCGAGCACCAAGAAAGGGGTGACCCATAAGGTTTGGGTGCATCTCAAGGAGGAGACAGCTGCCTGTGGCTGTCGTGCTTACCTGGCAGAAGGACGCTGCGGGCATTGCGATGCCGCAATGGACACCGCTCGTTCCTTAGGGTTTTTGCACGCGGCCCAGCGAGGCGCGGGTCCTGCGCTCACAGACTCCATTCGGAGTACCGCCTCCGATGCCCTAGCTAAGGGTAAGGTGGTGTTGGGTTTGGGGAACAGTGAAGGGTGTTTCTCCCAACTCGCGGCCAAGAGCCGCGGGCTCTCCTGCTTTCAGGGGCTCGCGGGTCGTGACCTGGCCGCGGCCCCAGCAGATGGAGCGAGCGCAGCCCACGCACATTCCGGCTCCGTGCAACGTGCCGCCACTGCCACTGTGGCGCGCACGCCAGGCCGGAGGAACAAGGGCCCAGCCCCCGCTAGGAGTTCTCCAGTCAAAGAAGCGGAATTCCTTGCGGGCGGGCCATACATTCAGGCCGCCCAAACGCTGCTTGGGTCAGGAGCAGCAGAGGATGTGATCTACATCCGGGCTTACAGCTTAGATTGCCCATCCTGCATCGAGGCAATCGAAGCGTCGCTTGGCAAGGGCGCAAGCGTTCGGATTGTCGCCGACATGGGACAATGCCACCGCACCAAGCTTCAGTGGCAAGCGTTGAAACGCTTGGCGGCCGCAGGTGCCGAGGTGAAGGTGGGTTGCGGCACATCCTTGCGCGACGCCTATGCTCGCGACGGCCGCGGGGCTAAGGTAGGCACCGGGATTCAAGGGCTGCACCATGCCAAGGCCCTTTGCCTACTGCGGCCTGACGGCGCGGTGGTGCTGATTGGGAGCCTCAATTTTACCACAAGCAGCAAGGCCAATGCGGAAGCAGGGCTTAAGCTTGAGGTCCCCAAGACGCACCCTGTCGCGCAGTCCTACGTCGAGGATTTCCAGAGGGTGTCGGCTGAGGCATTCTCCCTCGATGAGGCGGTTGCGAAGCGCCCTCAGTTGGAGCGAGCCAGTAGCTCCAACGTTGCTGGCAACGCCACTCGTGCCCCCAACACTGCTCCACAGGGTATCGAGTAGGCTGCGGCCAGTTGGCGCGGCGTGGTATGTATCCACGCATTATCAGAGCCGGCGTTGCAGCACGGCACGCTGCTTCGCCAACCTTTTGCACTTTCTTTGCGTGACTGCGGGCGAAAAAGCCGCGGCAGGTTGGAAGCCTGCCCATTTTGCATTCCCCGCACTTTTCTTCTCCGCCCTGCCTGTGGCCCCTCTTGTCGAGGGAGCTCTTTTGCAGGTGCTGCGGACCGTGTCCTGGTCGCGGCAGTGCGCTCGCCGAAGCGCGTGCGAGTTGCACTGGCTGTGGCACAAGCAATGTGCGCGGCTCTCGCTGAGTCCGGTAGCCCGTAGGGTAGTTCTGGATAGGTGAGTAGCCGTAGCCGTAGCTTAGGGCCGGTAGTGTGTACAGTGTACCATTTGTACCATAGCTTTGCACTAGCAGCACAAAGACCTGCCCAGTACTCTGGAGCCTCGCCTGCCTGCACAAAGGTGAGCGCTCGCGACTTGGGGTGGTTTAGGGTCGTAGAGGGCTGCTGTCGTCGTGCGTCCGTTTGGTAGTGCGGGCTGCCGCCGAAGCCGCATGCCAATGCTCATGATGTGCGGGCTCTACCAGGGTCGCACGCGACACCCTCGCCCTACCCCATTTGCCGCGTTGCTGAAGTGCTTGACGTACTACGAGCTCTTGGTGAGCCGGAAGCCTCGGCTGAGGGGCGAATGTGAGCAGGTCAAAGCATGCATGGAGTGCTTGCTTAGTGCTAGTGCAGCGTGTTGTTTTCCTTTGCATGTGTAGTTTTGCAATTCGTAACAATGCCAATGTTTTGGCTCAAGTACCGAGCTTGTGCCTTTGAGCACGGTAGTTTCGTACAGTAGCTCTTAGGTTGCTGTGCGGTCCGACCGGACGCACTCAGGCGTAGCTGCACAAGTGCTTGAACTCGCGAAGTCGTAAAACAGCGTGGCCGGGCTGTGATTGCATTGGTTTAGTGCAAGTCCAGTGCTGGTCGACTTCACAAGGGCTTAGGGCTTAGGGCTTAGGGCTTAGGGCTTAGGGCTTAGGGCTTAGGGCTTAGGGCTTAGGGCTTAGGGCTTAGGGCTTAGGGCTTAGGGCTTAGGGTTGTTACCTTTGGGTTTGGAGTCCCTTTAAAGAATTTCTCAGAGGGTTTCAAGGGCCAATGTAGACATGCATCAGAATCCCGGCTTGGGTTTGTGGTACGTAGTAGGGACGATATGTGTGTAGAATGCAGTCATATCCAGGTTAGAGGTCTGCAGGGGTCCTTCCTAGTATCCCCAAACAAGCAGTGCACGCATCCAAGGTTTGCCAAGCGAGCGGCAGCCTTGCTGACTAAGACTTAGGATTTGGGGGTAAGGGGCTCCGGGGTTTACGGGTTTTCTGGGTTTAAAGGTTAGGGGATTAGGGGTTAGGTTTCTGGGTTTGCTGCGTTTAGGGGATTAGGGGATTAGGGAATTTTCTGGGTTTTAGGGGCTTCGGGGTTTTCCGGGTTTAGGGGTTTTCGCGGTTTAGGGGTTTAGGGGATTTTCTGGGTTTAGGGGTTTGGGAGATTGGGGGTTTAGGGGCTTAGGGGTTTTCTGGGATTTGTGGGTTTAGGGGTTTTTGGGGTTTAGGGGTTTAGGGGTTTTCTGGATTTAGGGGTTTAGGGGATTGGAGGTTTAGGGGTTTAGGGGAGTGGAGGTTTAGGCGTTTAAGGGTTTTTTGGCTTTTCTGGGTTTAGAGGCATAGGGGTTTAGGGTTTTAGGGGTTTAGGGGCTTAGGGGTTTAGGGGTTTAGGGGGTTTAGGGGGTTTAGGGGGTTTTAGGGGGTTTTAGGGGTTCAGGGGTGTAGGGTACTACCAGCCCGACAGTCTCTGGTGGGAAGGCTGCGGCGGGGTGTTTGAGTTTGATTTTGAGGCTTTGGGCTTAGGGTTCAAGGTTGAGGGAGGGTTTGGGGCTTGCCCAGCCTACCGAAGTACGTCAACCCTAAACCCTAAACCCTAAACCCTAAACCCTAAACCCTAAACCCTGAAACCCTAGGGCTTACATGATTTAAGCCGTCTGGAGCGTTGGCATGAACAGGGCTTGGAGGGATGAGGTTGAGGGTTCAGGGTTTCGGAGTTTTTTCTGTTCTGCTGGGTCTTTTTGATTGCGGCCCCTTTCTCCTTATGGCATCAAGGTATACCAAGGCTTCTTTGCTCCATTACCTTAAGCCCGAAACCTCAAACAGTAAACCAGTAAACCCTAAACCCTAAGCAGCCCTTCTGCGATCCTCAACCCTAAATTCGTACAACGTGCTGAGAGCCAGGGCAAACGCAACTAAACCCTTCACCGCCTAAACCCGAAACACGACACCCGAAATCTGAACCCTAAACCCTAAACCCTAAACCCTAAACCCTAAACCCTAAACCCTAAACCCTAAACCCTAAACCCTAAACCCTAAACCCTAAACCCTAAACCCTAAACCCTAAACCCTAAACCCTAAACCCTAAACCCTAAACCCTAAACCCTAAACCCTAAACCCTAAACCCTAAACCCTAAACCCTCCCGAGGCTTCTTCTCTGGCACCATACCCGCGGTTGTCCCCGCCGTTTGCCCGGATCCCTCCTTCGGCGACGGCGTCGGGAGCACCTGCTCAAACCGCTCGGTGGGTGCCGAGTGCTGGGCATACTGCCTCAAGGACGGGGTTTAGGGTTTAGGGTTTAGGGTTGAATTAGGGTTTAGGGTTTACCGTTTAGGGTGTAGGGTTTTAGGGTTCTAGGGTTCTAGGGTTTTAGGGTTTTAGGGTTTTGGGGTTTTAGGGTTTAGGGTTTAGGGGGGGGGGGGGTGGGAGTTTGCCGTCGTAGTCCCTTTTCGGTTGCTAGAATAGGGACCCCCCAAGAGGGCCCCGTATTTAGAGAGGCGCAAAAGAGTAGACCGCACTTTTCAGGGCCCTCCCTAAACCTGAAACCATAAACCCTAAGCCCTAAACCCTAAACCCTAAACCCTAAACCCTAAACCCGAAGCAGAAAAAAGAGCAGCCCTTGAGCCCATCAGGACTATGTCGGGGTCGCACGACGATACGAGTGCCACTTCAATGCGACCGTCAGCGCCGTGGAAATTCAGCACACGGGCGAAGCCATTGCATGCGAGCCGATTCTTGACTCCAAGGGTTTAGGGTTTAGGGTTTAGGGTTTAGGGTTTAGGGTTTACGGCCTCGTGTGCCAACACCTGTTGATGCGCCTGATGCAGTTCCTACATGTCTATGTGAGGCTCAAGATGGCCACTACAAACGAGTTTAGGGTTGAGGGTCTGTGTATACCTTGTTTGAGGAGGGGATTCTAGCGCTTCGTAAAGTTCCATAGAGTTTGAATGTTTTTTTCTTTTTTTTTATGCATGTTGCTCCTTCCTATGCAAAGTGAAGGGTGGCTTAGGGTTGTTTCATAATAGCACGACATGATTAGCTAAATATACGTATTATTTGAATGAGAGATCCCCGAACACGTACATGGCACACAGAAAATGGAAAAGGGACCTATATAAATCCCTAGGCCCTGAACCCTAAACCCTAGGTCCTAAACCCCCAACCCAAAACCCAAAACTCAAAACCCTAAGCCCTAAGCCCCAAACCCCAAGCCCTGAACCTCAAACCCTTCTTTCCTATTATATACAATTTAAACCTTACTGGCCCCAGTGGGCGGCAAATCTTCAGGCAATGTTTTCCTGCTTCGTGGGCATTTGCCTGGTTCGTGGGCAGAATTTGCCTGCTTCGTGGGCATTTGCCTGGTTCGTGGGCAATTTGCCTGCTTCGTGGGCGTCCACTGCCGTTTTTTGCCTCATTTGCGGGGCGCACTTTTGCCTCACTCGTGGCCCCCCCCCCTCCCCAGCCACAACCCGAACCCTTCCCCCCCCCACCCCCCCCAACCTTACAATTCTAATCAAGGGGGCTGCTTGGTTCGGGGATGCCCTGCCCTGCGATGCCAGCGTTCGAGGGTTCAGGCGAATGTTCGTCGGTTCTGGTTATGTTTTAGAAGTGATTTGTCCTGAGACAAATTAAGGTCGACAAAATAAAGCTATGCTGTTTTGCTATGTTGTGGGGTCGACAACTCCGTTCTTCTGATGAAACTATGATATTTTCTTATGTTGTGAGATCCAAAAGATGGGTGGGTAGATTTGCGATACCAGCCACGAGCTTGACAAGTGAATGCTCGGACTTGAGATGCTGAACCCTAAACCCTCAACCCTCACCCTAAACCCTAAACCCTAAACCCTGAACCCTACACCCTAAACCCGACCAAGGAACGCCACCACCGGCCGGCGCCTGGCGGCCACCAGCGCTTGCTCCCCCCAGTCGGCGACCAGCTGGCGATTTGAGGTTTAGGGTTTGGGTTTAGGGTTTAGGGTTTAGGGTTTAGGGTTTAGGGTTTAGGGTTTAGGGTTTAGGGTTTAGGGTTTAGGGTTTAGGGTTTAGGCTTTAGGGTTTAGGGTTTAGGGTTTAGGGTTTGGGGTTTGGGGTTTGGGGTTTGGGGTTTAGGGTTTGGGTTCAGGGTTTAGGGTTTAGGGTTTAGGGTTTAGGGTTTGGGGTTTGGGGTTTGGGGTTTAGGGTTTGGGGTTTGGGGTTTGGGGTTTAGGGTTCAGGGTTTAGGGTTTAGGGTTTAGGGTTTAGGGTTTAGGTTTGGGGTTTAGGGTTTAGGGTTTCGGGTTTAGGGTTTAGGGTTCGGGGTTTAGGGTTTGGGGTGTAGGTTTCTGCTCGTCAGAGGGGTCCGGCTTCAGGGTTTGCAGTTTGTTCAGGATTCACAGCGGTAAATAAGCAACCTACCTTCAAACGATATAGGACTGCTCATTAGGAGTCTGCTCATTAGGAGTCAGAGATATCCCAAAACCCAAAACCCAAGACCCCAAAACCCCAAACCCCAAACCCTAAACCCTAAACCCTAAACTCTAAACCCTAAACCCTTCTCCCTAAACCCTAAACCCTAAACCCTAAACCCTAAACCCCTAACCCCTAACCCCTAAACCCTAAACCCTAAACCCTAGACCCTGAGGCAGAGGCCGCAGGCTTGGCGCAGTTGCAGTTCACGCACAGCTGCGCCAGCCAGCAGCACGACGAGGTGTGCCTGGCACACTGCAGCTTGGGCTTCACCATGACGGAGGACCGATTTCGGAGGGTTTAGGGTTTAGGGTTTAGGGTTTAGGGTTTAGGGTTTAGGGTTTAGGGTTTAGGGTTTAGGGTTTAGGAGTCCTCTTTATTCCGGGGGTTAGGGTTTGGGGTTTAACAGGGACCCTGCTGCGTCTTAAGGGATCTTCCTTGCGGAAGGGGTATTCGGGGACTGTGGGTTCAGTCTGAGGACACCTAGATCACTGAAAAGACAATTTGTTTATTAGAGTTTAGAGTTTAGGGTTTGGGGTTTGGGCTGCTCTGTGATGTAAGCCCCGAACCCTAGACCCTAAAGCGGGCATTGGGCTCTCGATTGCTGGCAGGAGACGCCTGCAATCCTCGTCTGCGACAATGGCGCCTTCGTTGGCGCGGCGTTGCCCACGTGCCACCTTGGCAGTTTGCGGCTCTTTTAGGGAGGTTTCGGGTTGAGGGCTTGAGGGGCTTAGGGTTGACGGCTTTGAGGGGGTTTTGGGGTGTAGGGATGTGGGGGATGTAGGGGTTTCGTTGTTTGGGCAGGAAGGGCTCTGCGGTTCGAGAGGGGTTAGTCCATAAACCACTATTTGCTTAAGAACCCCCCCCAAGAAATAAGCAACACATCATCCGTATAAGGGTAATACAGGGAGTATTGTCTTGTGTTTTTGGGTTTTTTCGGCAAATAGTAGCAGACCTTTAACCCCTGAACCCCTTAACTCCTTAAACTTTCAAGCGGTAGAAAACTCAGGATACTCAGAGACACCTGAAAAGGAGTCTTGAACCTATGAGCCCGTAGATCCTCCCAACCCCCTCCTAAGCCCCCTACACCTCTCAATAGGCTTTAGGGTTCAGGGTTTAGGGTTTAGGGCTTAGGGACCCCAAACCCTAAACCCTAAACCCCAAACCCTAAGCCCCCAAAAGTCCCTTCCCTTGTGGCCTGCGGGCTCGGAGGTGCACTGGGCAGCCTTGCAACAACTCCCTGCCGCAGGGCCCGCTGGCCTGCTTTGGAGGGTTTAGGGTTTAGGGTTTAGGGTTTAGGGTTTAGGGTTTAGGGTTTAGGGTTTAGGGTTTGATGTTCAGAGTTGGAGTGATTTCGGGCTTTAGTTTTCGTTAAAGGATGTTTGGCTTCAGGGTTGTTCGGATATTCGGATCATTGGAGGAGTAGACAAGAAGGTATACTTTTGTTGGCTTTAGGGTTGAGAGTTTATCGGAGTATTTTCTCTGGCACTGTCAAGCCATGGTAGCTCTCCAGAAATGCAACTTACGCCTCACAGCTGCCCCTAAACCCTCAACCCTAATCCCGACAAAAAAACTGACTCGCAGTCTAAGAGTAGACCGTGGGCGAACCCTGGGGGGAGCGGGGGGGGGAGGTATAGAGGGGGGTAGCAGGGGACCCCCTAAATCCTAAACCCTTAACCCTTAACCCTTAAACCTTAAACCCTAAACCGTAAACCCCAAACCCCCATGCCAGCCGCAATCCCTACAAGGTGCGGGGGTGGAGCACAACTGCGCGGGCGCCACCGCTTTCGGCACGTGCGACGCGACCTGCGGGCAGGTGCCTGTGGGGATTCAGTTCTTTGGCATTGGGGGTGTCTTTGAGAGGGTTTAGGGTTTAGGGTTTAGGGTTTAAGGTTTAGGGCCTGCGATTAAGCGACAAAACTCTGCAACTCGATATAGGAGTAGCTACCTAAACTTAAACCCAAAGCTCCCAAATCCTAAATACTACACCGAAAACCTGTAAGCCCAGTAAACCCGGAAACCCCAAACCCTAAACCCCAAACCCCAAACCCGAGACTCTGCCAGGCCGGCTACACCTACGCGTCGGGCTCCGGGTCTGCGACCTTCACCTGCATGCCCTGGGGCAGCTTCCAAGGCCCCCGAGCTAGGGTTTAGGGTTTAGGGTTTAGGGTTTAGGGTTTAGGGTTTAGGGTTTAGGGTTTAGGGTTTAGGGTTTAGGGTTTCGGGTTTAGGGTTTAGGGTTTAGGGTTTAATTAGGGTTTAATTAGTGTATAGGGTTTAGGGCCTGAAGCCTTAGAAGCCCCGAATTCTGAACCCTAACCCAAAGAGCCCGAGAGAGCCCTTGAAGGGAAGAAGGTGTTGAGGTTTACTTGCTAGCCCATTGGTACCCTTTACCTGTTGTTTTGTTAACGGTTCCCTTATCAAGTAACCAGCCCCGCAAAGGGCAATCCCTAAACCCTCGCTAAACCCTAAACCCTAGATCCTGATTATAACACGGTTCAGGGCCAAGGGGGTACCAGGTTTCGTGTGAGGGGAAAACTGTGTGTCGCCGGCGCCCAAAAAGGCTAGGCCAACTACCAAGGTAGGACCCAGAGCTGGCTCTTCCTTTTTTGAGGGGGTTTAGGTTCCCTCATGAGCCCTGAACCCTAAACTGCACCCTAAACCCTAAACCCTAAACCCTAAACCCTAAACCCTAAACCCTAAACCCTAAACCCTAAACCCTAAACCCTAAACCCTAAACCCTAAACCCTAAACCCCCTTGAGCCCCTTTAAACCCAAAAGGGCACCCTTTTTATTTCCTGGGATTCCGCTTTGAAGGTGTTGTCCACTTGTACCGATTCCTGGAATGAGTACTCTGTTCGGTCCGAAGCCCTGTGCCCTCAACCTTAAATCGTAAAGCCCTAAGCCACCAATGATAGGGTTTTCGGCTTAGGGCTTAGGGTTTAGGGTGGAGGCCCTAAACCAACTGAATTTCCGGATGGCTCAGCTCAGGAGACTGACGACAAGCCGTTGATTGTTTTGCTGGTGGGCTTTTAGGGTTTTGGGCTTTAGGGCTTAGGGCGTTAGGCTTTAGGGGTTGGGGCTTTAGAGCTTTACGTTTCGTGTTGTGAGGAATTAGAGGGATTCGGGAGTAGCGCGGCGGCGGCGTGCCTTCTCCTTCTGAAACTTCAAGGTGCTCCGTCGTTTAAACAACGAAGGGGCCCCCCCAAACCCTAAACTCCCTAAGCCCCTGTTTGAAAACCAAAGCCTCGAAAATGAACCATTTTTCAACCCAGAGGGCTGTCACTCCATGGTTTAGGGTTTAGGGTTGAGGGTTGTCTCGCGCGCGTTTCGTAGGCAACCCGCCCTTGTGCGAGCCGATCGCCTGTCAGGAGTAAGGGTTAGGGCTTAGGGTTGATACGTCTACTTAGTGTCCCCCGGAAGCCCTTTATAATCCCCGTAGCCCAGCATACTAACCCTACTTGCTCAGTCAAAAGGGCTTCCAAGTAGGGCTAAGGTCGAGGGTTTAGGGTTTAGGGCTTAGGGCTTATGGGGACTTTGTCCACTTGCCTGTAATGCTTCAGCAAAAACGCAGCATTAACGGCCATGGGTTTAGGGTTAGGGGTTTAGGGCTTTGGGGGTTCAGGGTTTAGGGTTTAGGGTTTAAGGGGTTCAGGGTTTAGGGTAGAGGGTTTGGGAGAACCCAAAACCCCACACCCTAGATCCTAAACTCCTTGCCCATCATGCCAAGCCTTTTCCCACTTCGTGCCTTGAACTCGACCCCCCCCCCCCCCCCCCAAGTTCCCGGAAAATCCACCTAAGCCCTAGGCCCTAAACCCTAAACACCACCAAGATAGCCAGGGTTTAGGACCCGAATAATCTTAATTTATCTATACAATGTCCCCGACCAAAAAACCACTAACATGAGCGCATCGTAGTCGAAAACCCTGTGCTTCTGGAACTCTATGCCAGTTCTCGCCGGGGTTTCGCTTGTTCTTTGCTGCGCTACAGATGCGGCAAGCGCGTAGGTTTAGGGTTTAGGGTTCAGGGTTTAGGGTTTAGGGGTTAGGATCATAGAGTTTGGTGATCAGCGAGGGCTGCCTTTTGCATGTGCGGGTTGCCTTCTGCAATGGGATGTGCCTACTTGGGGTGAGCTGCTGTGTGGGTCGCCTTAGGGTAGACACCCAGACTTCCACCCCCTGGACCCAAACCCCAAACCCTAAACCATCATAAGGGCAAACCCTAAACCCCCAACCCCAAACCCTAAACCCCAAACCCTAAACCCCAAACCCTAAACCCCAAACCCCAGACCTTAAACCCTAAACCCCATAAGCCCTGAAGGACCTGGTCCTCGACAGCATCTTCTCCCACAACTGCCAGTCGAAGCGCTTCGGAGACACCTGCGGCGTGAGCTGCGCCACAGGGCCCTTTGGGCTTGTTTGGGTTTAGGGTTTTAGGGTTTTAGGTTTTTGGGTTTTAGGGTTTTAGGGCTTTAGGGCTTTAGGGTTTTGGGGTTTTCGGGTTTTGGGTTTTGGGGTTTCGGTGTTTTAGGGCTTGGTTTTTTTGAGGGCTGCGCCACAGGTCCTGTAGGCTGCGATTGGGCTTCGGGTTTCAGGGGGGTGTAGGGGTTTTAGGGTTTATAGGGTTTCGGGTCTTGGGCTTCGTTTGCTTTTCGCACTTGGTGCTCTTGGAGTTTAGGGTCGGGGCTGCTTTCGGGTTTGGGGTTGAGGCCTCCGCTTTTGCATTCGGGGTGCAGGGCTGTGGGTGTTGAAATAGTACAGGTCTTGGTGCCCGAGCCCCAACTAAGTGACTACAATTGGTCTTTCTGTCTACTTGGCGGTTCATGGATAGGTATAAGCAGGATTAAAAAGTATGGTAGCTATACTTATAACCCTATTTAGGGCATTTCTAACCCTACTCATACCTACCCATTCAGGTAAAACTACAACTCCAAACCCTAAACTCAAACCCTTAAACCCTTAAAGCCTTAAACCCTTAAACCCTTAAACCCTTGAAGCCTTCAACCCTTAAACCCTAAAGCCTTAAACCCTTAAACCCGAAACCCCCCAACACCCTGAAACCCTTGCAAAAATACAGAGTGGTGCGCCTTTGCGCATCACTGTCGTGAAGTCGCGGCCCTCGAGATGCCCAGGGGTTTAGGGTTTAGGGTTTAGGGTTTAGGGTTGAGGGTTTGGTCACATCCCGAAGCCACAAGAGGGGTGCCGTTTCATGATTCCTTGGTTGCTGGGGTCCCTGGGTCTCTAGGCCCCAAACCCCAAACCCCACAGTAAACCCCAACCCAACCCCCAAACCCCAAACGCCGAACCCCAAACCCCAAACCCCAAACCCAAACCCCAAACCCTGAACCCTAAACCCCAACTACCCACCCAGATATCACCTCAGCGGCTGGGGCGCGCAATACACCTGCGGGGCGGATGGCACCTTTGAAGGGGCTACTTGAAAGGGCATGCGCAAGACTTTTTTTTGCCTTTCATTTTTTTCTGCAAGTAAGTCTGGGGAGTTTAGGGTTTGGGGTTTATTGTTTAGGGTTTAGGGTTTAGCAACATGCCTCGGTTAGGAATAGAATCGACGTTAAATGATAGCGGGATCCTTTGTTTTGGGGGTTGTGGTGTGTTTCGGGTTCGGAAGATTGCCGTAACCCTGAAGCAGCGGATGTATCCCAAAATCCTAAGCCCTAAACCCTCAACCCAGAACTCCCTGC